GAATAAATTACACACTTATTGTTGTTTTAATAAAGTAAGTCAACGACTATTTGACTTAAATAGATATATAATATAAAGGCATCAATTTTCAATGTGTGTGTATTTAATACAATACAGTATACAACGAGTTGTGCGAGAATTTATCGGTTTAAGTAATCAGTTTTTGTAATTATATTCCCTCTTAAAAGGTTGACTTTTTAAGACTTTTAATTTGAATACAGAGACTAATGAATAATTTATTATAACGTTTTTTCTCTGTTTTATCAATTATTATACACAACCCGTATCTTAAGATTGGTTTTATCTGTTCTTTTCGAGAGTTTGAAAACAACTATAAAAAAAGTTCTTAAAGTAATTAAAATAAGTTTTTTAATGAAATGCTTTTAGAGATAAGTTTTATTTGCGAATTGATTTGCTGAATGGAGACTAACATTAAAATTTTGTCTGTTTTTCACATAAATAAATGCCAATAGAGAAAAAATTCAGATCTAAAGGACTTCTCGTAAAGAAATCTGTGACTTAAATAAAAGTCTATAAAAGATTTAAGTTTTTTTCTTTCGTTTTGCAAATTATATGAAACAACTCTATTCTTGTTGTCCTTATCTCACATACAATATGATTATATAATAGAAAGAATTTGACAGAATATTTGGGTCAATAACCCCTTGTCCTAAGAATAAGGCTATGATATGAGAGGAAGAATAGGATAGTGAGAGACGACAATATATAGAGACTATTAGTTTGGTTGTGAAGAATAACAAAAGCTAAACAATTGTGTTGTAATGCTTTAGAAACTTCTCATCCATTCTCTCACTTCACTCACTGTTTCTTCGGTTCTTCAATATTAGTGCTAAACATTAGTTTCTATATCTCATGGCCTGCTGTCCAGCGCTGTTCGCGGCGGTGGTGTCTGTCTGTCTCTCTGTCTGTTCTGTCTGTTCAGGTAGAGATTGTGTCCAATTATTTGCGTGAGAATAGCCATCAGAGTGTATACAATACATACACACATACCGTGTGTTGAGAGGAAAAGAGAGAAATGTCACATATATTGGAAAAAAATCAATGAAAAATATTCTTCAAAATATGAAGTAATGTTTTGCCGATACTATTATATACACCAGAGTAGCGGTCATACATGTCAACTCAAACTCCTTAGCTCTCTCTCTCTCTCTCTCTCTCTCATTCAGTGCTCTTTCAACTCAATAAGAAAGGGCTACAAAAAGAGAGAGAATTTATTTGGATTCTTGAATCTTGTTTTTGAGTCAAATCTTTTGCACTACAATATCGTCGGTCCCCTTATCTGCCAACGGAATAACGGCTCAACTCTTGCTTTCAAATGCCTTTGGCTTTACTAGAAATACGAGATTTAGTAAACGAGAGTAAAGAAGAGAGAGAGAGAGAGAGGGAGAGAGAAAAAGAAAGTGAGAGTATGTGAGCCTTTGCTCTACTGCTCTGCTCTATAACACACTTTACCATCTCTACTAAACACCACCATTACTGCAAATGTTGTGATCTCTCTCTCTCTCTCTCTCTCTCTCTCTCTCTCTCTCNCTCTCTCTCTCTCTCTCTCTCTCTCTCTCTCTCCCTCCCTCCCTCTCGCTCTCTCATACTCTCTATTTCTGCTCTAATGTTAAATATTTGTTCTATTTTTAGCCTTAAATATAGTGTACAAAACATAAGCTTTGATACGAATTTATCACAACGGCTTCACTACTATATTCTGATTAAGTCTTGATCTCTAAGTATTATTAAAATCAATATTTTTATTCACAAATCTTTACTTAAATTAATTGATTCGCAATTTTTCTCTCTTCTCACGATTACTATATTTATTATTAAACAATTTAAATGCATTTTTGAAAGTGTATTACATTAAGTATTGATTGAATTTTGTATTTTCGCTCTTTCCTTCTACTAATCAATAAATCAATTAAAGATTTTATTGTAATTGCAATTATAGTTTATACCAATTGTAGTCTAAGTTATATTTAATGTGGTGTATGTCTGGAGAAAAAGAGAGATACGATAAATTGAGACAATAGACAGTCAATAAACTATAAAAATAGTCTAATATATCGTATTTAATGACATTTGCAATCATTAATCTATTTTGAAATCGAGAAAATATTTCATTAATAGTATACAAATTATACTGTATTTACAATTTGGGTATAAATGTAGAGTACAATAGACATCGCTATCAGAATAGAGGAATCAATTGATGTGTTTTCTACTGTATTTACGATAAAAATTAAGTCCAACACAAATACAATTAATTTCTAAAATAGAGCGAAATTACTTTTTTATTGATATATGTATTTTGCATATATTTTTTATACAGAATATATTATAATATTATTATAATAACTCTCTTATCTTTAATCACTTATTCTTTATATATGTTATAAACATTTTGCATGAAATATATTTAATGTAATGCTTATAGAGAAAGGAAATATAAAAATAATTTGCTTTTAGTAAGTAATATAATAATTACAATATAATGTGAATGCAATACAACACATACACAGTATATTCAAAAATATCTATAAAGTCATTACAGAAAAATTAGAATTAAAAATAATTTTCGCAAAAATATGAGTATATTTTAATGAAAAGGAAAATGAGAACAGATATTGAGATATTTAGCTTTTTGTTGAATAAACTCAATAATAGATCATTTCATTCATTTATTATATAAATATTAGACGAGTGGTGACTATATTTATGAAATATTGATTGTGTGTATAGAATATGAATATTGAAGTGAATGAATGAAAATGAATGCAAATAATGTGTAGAATAGAGTGAAAGCCAGAGTAGAGAGTGAGTGAGTGTTTAGTATTATATAATGTATGGCATAGGCATGTGTGGGCCCTAACATATATCACAGCCATAATCATCATTCTTTAGCCTTTCCTGTCGGCGCTGTTGTCTAGTTTTCGGCACAAGTCGTGCGATAGTGTTATTAAGTCATGTATCAGCCGTTAGTTTGTGTTGTTTTGGATATTGGGATAAGAAATATACACTTTGGAGAGAGAGAGAGAGAGAGAGAGAGAGAGAGAGAGAGGAACTAAAAACAGACAAACACTCAATCGAATAGCCTTTTTATCAAGGCTTCAATAAAACGATACCATCTCTACATCACATCCACACACACTAACCATACCATATATTTACGCTATGCTTTATATAATAAGGTGTACTCTAAAACGACAATAGCCGGTATATTATTGCTTCGGTTATTGTCAAATCTCATCGCTTTTTGGCTCTATTTTTAGGGTATTTTTTTGTTGAGATATTTTTTTATATTCGCTTAACTATTAACACAATTTTGATGTCTTTGCGTCTCAACTGATAGCCAAACAAATGAAATGAAATGAAATTTTCTAAAACAATATTACACTACAGTATAGTTTAGTTATCTACTAGATACTATTATTTTGTTTTATGCCGTAATAATATTGGCACACAATTCAGGCACTCATAAAACTAAGAAATAATTTATTTTCTATAATATTGTATATTTAGAGTCAAAATAGAGGTCAATTGAATGGACTAATAAAATCCAATCGTTAGTTAATAGCAATACCGTAGTTATAACGGATAAGACATCTCTCTCTCTCTCTCTCTCTCTCTCTCTCTCTCTCTCTCAATGGATGACAATTGTGTTGAATTTGAAGATATTTGAGGAGCCATTTGTTTGGCTGAACTGAGTTATAGCCGTTTCGCATAGAGTTATAGCCATTAGAGGCAAAGAAAATGAGAGGGTTTGCACGCCTTCTTCAGACGAGCTTTTGATTCAATGGATTTCTGTTTCAATGAATTCACACTTTCAGAGACGACTGAAATACGTGTTAGAAATAAATTAAGCAAAAAATAGTAAAAATGGACAAAATGTGAGACACATTGGGAACCATTGCGACGAAACAATAATTATGATTGCAATAAGGCTTTTACACAATTGCTTATGTGTTGTGCCTTTTACTCCAATTGCTCCCTAATCTACACTCTTTTTTGTCTCGCTTTTTGCATTTATTCAGGAAATACGACACACTTTTATGTAAATTAACAAAACATTAGTTCCCATTAAACTGAATGAGGAGAGAGAGAGAGAGAGAGAGAGAGAGAGAGAGAGAGAGTTGATTAGAATTTTGACTAAGACTGTGCTGTTAATGTATTTAGAGTATTGTTCTCATTGTATGTATCATTCATTTATCTGTTATTGTCTTATATTTTCAGTATTGAATTGATTGTCATCTAAACGACTGGTGACTAGAAATTAGATGCAATTGTCGTGATATTGCAATCATCGCCAGTGAAGTCCTGCGACAAGACATCACATCCATATAACAGCCCAACAGCTGCACAAACAGATCCAATAAATTGGAGAAAGTGCTGAACCGATGCATAGATGCTTAAGATTTGGTGGCCATGAATGCGTTTGCACTCCATTTTCATCTCTCTCTGAACATAACTAACACTTCATTTTCATTACAATCATTGGAAAGAAGGAGAAGAAGAAGAAAAGTTAATAAGAAGTGCAAACCGTTTGGCAATATATCCGTGAAGAAGACATGTATCCGTTTGATTCAAACTCATCGCAACTTTTATACCAATAATAATAATAACTATAACAAGAAATCGAGAAATCGGTTCCCAACTCAACACTTACTTCACTGCCAATCGTATTCACTGCCAAAAGACAGACAATTAGACATTTTGCTATCAATACCACCACTTTCTGTGCTATCAGTGCCCGTCACTGCCAACTGCGGACAACTATCCGCCAATTATCGCAACAGACTCTCAACGACTGAACCATTGAGTGATTTGTTCACCGATAGGACAATAGAGACGAGTCACTGCCCGACAAACGTATTCACCGTCGACTCGATTCTCATTTACTCCTTATTTGAGTTAATTGTGTTCGCAATACTGCGGTCCTGGAGCTTTCAAAGGGATTTGGAACAGGATCAAGGTCCCACGAACCGTCAACCATGTCCTTTCTCTTCCGGTTAGTGCAGTACGTAATCATTTTCTTACTATCTTTCTAGACGTCTGTCCAGTCCTCGACGTACAGTGTGTTCAGTGTTTTAGTTTTAGTTACTAGTACTCAATGCCTACAATGCCTACAATGCCTGTCCGTTTCTGTGTTTCTGTTTGCCGTGTATTTCGGGTGCTTTTCTAGCTCTCTCTCTCTCTCTCTCTCTCTCTCTCTCTCTCTCAATGGATGACAATTATGTTGAATTTGAAGATATTTGAGGTGCCATTTGTTTGGCTGAACTGAGTTATAGCCGTTTCGCATAAAGTTAGAGCCATTAGAGGCAAAGAAAATGAGAGGGTTTGCACGCCTTCTTCAGACGAGCTTTTGATTCAATGGATTTCTGTTTCAATGAATTCACACTTTCAGAGACGACTGAAATACGTGTTAGAAATAAATACTGAAAGAGAGAGAGAGAGAGAGAGAGATCACAACATTTGCAGTAATGGTGGTGTTTAGTAGAGATGGTAAAGTGTGTTATAGAGCAGAGCAGTAGAGCAAAGGCTCACATACTCTCACTTTCTCTCTCTCTCTCTCTCTCTCTCTCTCTCTCTGCTATATATTTATTGACTCTCGTATTTATTACTATTATTGCAGTTATATATATTTTTTGCCGAAAAACTCTTATCGTTATTATTATGAATGTTATGATTATTGAAGAGATATTTATTTTAATAATAGCTTAAAGATATGAAAATGCATTGCATTTGATATGAGCTTTAAGTCGGAGCGACGAGAGAGACAGTTGGAGAGCAGCGACTACTCATTGCTCTTCAATGTCTTCATCTTTATGTCTTATTTTATGCTAATATAATGTTATGTTTTGTGAACAAAAATTATTTTGTCAAAAATGTACTTTTGCTCAGTTGTGTGGAGCGCTATATCAATGTTTGTATTTGTATTTGTATTGTTCTGTGGCCTGTCGTGTAACTGATTCCGTGGTCTGCGCTGGTCGTGCCCTAACGTGTCTCTAACTGTGAACCTCTTATGAACCACACGTATACGTATGCCGTATCGGCCCCTCTCTGCTTGTCGTTCACAGGTTTCACGATCTTATCGGCGGAATTCACGTTCCGGTGGACGACGGGGTGGACAAACTTAACCGCAAATACACACTATTAGTCTTCCTATTCCTGGCTTTGCCCATTTTCACCAAACAATACATTGGAGACCCCATTGAATGCTTTACGCCCACCTATTTTACCGAACCTCAGGCCCGGTATGTCAACTCATATTGTTGGACGGCTTCCACCTATTATCTCGTCGCCGCCGACGCCGACGATGACGATTACGACGGTTTCACAGGACAGGTATTCACAACATTATTTTACCTTATATTCTGCCAACTATTCCCACTATCCATCCATATGTCAGTCATGTCATCAATTATATCATACACATACTCACGCTCTCTCTCTCTCTCCCTCTCACTATTACTATCACTATATCACAACATATTACCGCTCCCCTCATGAGATTGTACTCCTTCTCATCATTATTGCACTGCTTTTTTCTCTCTTTTATCATTATATCGTTCCCCACCCAACACAACACAACACACATAACATTACTTTCAGCTCTTATTCTCATTTATTTTGCAAAACTATACAATTTAGAGAAGCATTCAAACCATTCAACTTGTTTTTCGCAGTCAACATATATAAAGCACTTCATATTATTGAATATAATATTAATATTTCACTCAAAGCCTTTGCTCTTTCAATAACTTCTCCTCTCATTTAAGTCCCTTCCAGTCCTTTCCAGGGCTCGAGTACTTGAATTTCCGGAGCTTTAAGATATATCTAAGACAAAAAATCAGAGAAATATTTGAACAAATCTTAACAGTCCTTAAACGCCAAACAAAACTCGTCTTCAATTCAACAAAACTTATATTAAACACAAAAAACAACATTAGGAATAAGAGGGTGAAAATACTTTCAAGTATTTATAGTATTTGATCACACTTTTCAATAACAGCCATAACAATGGTTAAGGGCATAGCTGTGGACACGGATATGCCTAACCAGTGCTAACCAGTGCTACGGTTAGGGCAGGAGAGCTATGGTTATGGCCATAGCTATGACTGAATAGCATTGATGACATTCATAAGAGAGTGGCATTTAGTCTGTCATTCGTGCAATATTTATGTTTAGGCCATAAACTCGGTTATAATGATCAGCTTTGAAACCACCAAAACAACAGTTCCCAACGAATAGGTTCTTCATTCAAATAAAAGCCTCTCATTGTTACGGTTTAAGTGATATTGCATTACCTTTTCTTTCATTTCTCTCTATGATATTACTATAATAAAAGAGCTAATGTTTTATCTTACGAAAGGATTTTTTGCTCAAACCATTCAAATGAGTATTACTTTACCTGAAATGTTAGGCATTGATCGGCCAAATGGCTGTGCATTTGGACGGACAGGCCGTCTCTTGCGCTCCATTTGGCAGTGCATTGGGATTGAAATCTAACTTTTTTTGTGTTTGTTTGTAACTCTCGATTACTTCTTAGCCGTTCCTCAGCTTCTCTTACATATTAAATAAATTATAAGCGAAGAGAAAAAGGAGTAAAGGAGTAAAGCTGTACATCAGTTGCTGTGCGGCCCTTATCTGCCTATTCTCTATGGCTATGGTTTTGAGGGCTCATGTATGCTCTCATCTGCTTTATATGCCTGAGCTATACATCATTGATATAAATAAATAATTAGTCGAGTCCTCCAACTCCTCTCAACAGTAATTCTTTAAGTGACCCGAACTCCAGGCCTAACGTCAATAACAATAAACATTTAATCCATGTTTTACTCCATAATATGTAACATAAATCATGAATCCATTCAATCCTTTGCCACAAATTTATTCCAATTTTCTGAATCCATTAGAAATTAATTTATTTCTTCTCTAACTTCTTATGTCTGGTCTTATATTTGAGTATTTAATGAAGATTTTTATTGCAAATGGAGATTAATTAATGACTTGAAACGATATTTTGATGTCTTTTTTAGTTAGAGAGAAAAGGTTGGAAACCATTAGATCTGATAAAAGTCTGAAAACTCATTATATGATTGAAAAGATTTTCGAGAATACAGTGTTGTTTTGGTTGAGCATAGAATAGCATAGAATAGTATACACTGACAATCAGTTTGTTTTAAAATATATCCATCAAAAGCTTAAGATTATATGCCAATGGATTGTCACCCATAATGTGTGTTGTTATATATACACACTTTACTTTGTCGTACATTTTTATCACTTTTATTACATCTCATATTTTTGTAACCAATTTTGGGCCAACAAATTGCGACACAATGTTCTCATCTCCACTAATAAAGTATATCATAATTTATAAAATGAAATACAATACACAAAATAGTTAAGGAGTGAAACATAAATTAGATTTTAATTTCATTGTAACTCATTTTGACGACACCTTAACTCGTATTTATAGCTGTCCTGTGAGACACAAAACTGGCCCTAAATTGCAAAACAACAGCATTTATATACTGTTATACAATGTATAACAACAACAACAACACCAGAATTAAGTCTTTCATATATTAACTGTAAGAGAGAAGGAATTTTCATTTATTATAAATATCTTATTATTTGAAGAGTGGCTCCAAAGCCAGGGCTTAAGAAGCGAAGTAAAAGTGACATTCAGTCTAAATGTCTCTCAGGTCTCAAATAGCGTTCAAAAGACTATCCTTTTGTGTATAAATTAATCTCGAGTTTGACTTAAATTCTATTAAAAGCATTCAATTATTGAATACATTGAATACAGGCTTAACTCATGAATTCATTAATTTCTCATATAATGCTTTTCGCATTATTTTCTATTATGCATCACATCTACTGTTGTATACAGAATATTGACCAAAATGTTAACAATTACGGCCAATATTTATAATTTAACATTCCTTTCCTTCTCATCCCTATAGTGATAAGACAACTAAACCATCGCTGCATCACTTGAATAGTAATTTAGTCCAAATTAAAACCATAGTTAGCGTATAAATTGAGCAAAAACATTAATTTAAAATTACACATTAATAACACGAGAGAATGTAAGTATGTGTGTGTCTTATGACTGACAAAAGCTGCCCAACAATTAAAACTAAATTCAATACATATATGAATACTAATGAATTGCCGAATGGTTGCCATTCGTGACCGGTTTGTCCCTACCATAGGATCCGCCCGATCCGCGCGTTCTTCCAGAAGAGTTAGATTACGGGGGTTTCGACGTGGCGTCGACGGGACCCGAGCGGTTGCGTCGGGTGCGCGTGGGTTACTACCAATGGGCGCCATTGATACTTCTGGTGCAGGGCTGTTGCTTTTACGTGCCGTTCCTCGTGTGGAACTCTTGTGCTCATAACGCAGGGGTGAAACTGCGGCGACTGTTGAAGAAGGCGTCGGACATCGCTTCCCTACCGCCCGGTTGTCAACAAAGAGAGGCCCTTTTGGCCGAATTTGTGGACCAATTCCATACGCTGGTGACGGGTGAGGCCGGTTGGTGTACAGACCCGTCGTGCCGACTGCCGCTGTCGTGCCGCTGCTGTGTGGGCGGGCCGAGCCGCTACCTGTGCCTACTCTACCTCCTGGTCAAGACCCTATACGTGCTGAATGTGGGCCTTCAGTTCGTACTGTTGGGCTCATTCATGGGCCGCGGGTTTCTTCGCCACGGACTTGAACTGATCCGCCGGTTCGCCATCGACGGCGACTGGTGGGCGTCGCCCCGATTCCCGTTGCAGACCCTGTGCCAAGTGAGGGCAGCCATACAGGGAGGTCTGCGCACCTATACGTGTCAGTGTGTACTACCTATCAATGTGTTCAACGAGAAGATCTTTTCGGTCGTTTGGTTTTATTTGGCATTTCTCATGCCTTTAAACATCATTAGTCTTATCTTTTGGGTGTGGCGTACCTTCCGGTGCAACCGACTCGCGTACGTACGGCTCTGCCTCTGGAGGACTAGACTCGTAGGCATGGCTGAAGTGGGCCGACTCGCCCGCAAAATCTCGGCCAACTATCTGGGCTGGGATGGGGTGTTTGTGTTGCGGCTCATTGAGCACAATCACGGCTCAATTATGGCCACATTGATTGTGTCCCGTCTTTGGGAGTTCTACGCCAACCAAATGAAGCTTCAGGAGGAGGCCGGCGGCAACGGCTCCGACGCCGAGATGGGCAGTGTTGCCTCTGTCGGCGCCCCGCCCTCCACCTCATGGCACTCATGTCACGCCACCTCATGTCACGCGACCGGACATCACGGACACCATTACCCGCCGTCGACCCCATCCGGACAGCAGACGATGGCTCGCAAAGGAAACATTCCTCCCAATGGGTATTGGGGTAAATGACACTGGCTTTAGGTTGTAGTCTATATTAATTCAATTGATTATATTATAATTAATTCAATTGACTCTTCAATTGATTAAGCATTTTATTATAAACTAATTGTAGATATATTTAAAACAATGGTAAAAAATAATATATTTAAGAGTTGTATTGAGTATAGAATTAATTAATTATAAACAAAAATTATAGCCCAAAAGCCATAACCCCATCATCTAATCATTATAACACACACTCAATGCGTTAATTAAATACAATTTATACTGTTTTTAGTTATAATATATTATATATAATGTTAATACACTATACATGTTAACAATGACAGACTGTTAAGTGCATATTAATGCAAATTCATGCATAAAACGGCGTTTTATTTCTCTCTCTCTCTCTCTCTCTCTCTCTCTCTCCTTATGATTATTATTAAAATAATTATTTAAAAGAGCAGATTTGCTAAAAAGTGTAGAAAAGCTGCAAAACGTAAAACATATGAATGAAACGCTACGACAGAAACAAGTAATTGAATTGAATTCTCATTTTTACACATTATTTCACATTATTCTCCATTCGTGAAGCGTTTGCATCAAAAGCACTCACAACTCATTTTTTGTCGACTAGAAAAAAATTTCATTCATTCATTCAGTCATTCACACGACGAAAAAAAATACAAATCACAAACAAAACACAACATTGAGAGACACGACAACAGAGACACAGGTCTTAAAACAACACTACATCTCATATATTCTTGAGCCTCAATAATAATGACATACAGTGTATGGAAATAAACAGAAGAAACACACAAATCACTCGCAAAATGCCCTTCTTTTTGAACGTACAGTATATATGGTATACATATATATAAATATATGAATTAAATAAATTGATTATTCTTTAAATACAAATTAGTTGAGAATTGTGTTTCAGGAAAACTTTAAATAATGTTATTTATATATCTCTATATTATATAACAAATTTGCTGAATCGATGTAAATATATTTATATATACTGTACGTAACAGTTATAAAAGTGTGTTCAAAAACCATTGCGAAAAGCATTTATGACTTTGTAAAAAACGAGAGAGTGAGTGAAAGCAGGTTTAATATTAATAGTTTAGGTGCAATATGTATGTTAGGTTTGTTTCAAATGGATACTAGTGTTAAAATGCAAGGCAGAGATAGGCTCTACTCAGCTATGCAAACATGTATATATATAAAGATATATATTATTATATATATTACATATATATAAATGAAAAATGTTTGAATTCTCAACAGATTATGAAATATTGATCACTTCAATAATTCCAATCTAAGTCCAAACGCTGACATTTTTGGCAATTCATCACAAAATTTCTATACAAACCAAAAGTCAAAAGAAAGAAAAAAATAGAGAAAAGGAGAGAGAAAAGAGAAGAAGTCTAAAGTGCAGCGCAACGCAAACGCTTACAACATATAAATATAATGTTATATACAGTATATATACAGAGAAATAGTTAAGAAATATAGTTTAGAGTTGAAGGAAAAGGGATGATAAAAACAAATCAAACACACAATTTTGAGCCCAACATCAGCGATGACTGCGAGAGTGAGTGCGAGAAAGTGTGGCGAAGAGAGAGAGAGAGAGAGAGAGAGAGAGAGAGAGAGAGAGAGAGAATGTGGACGGAATGAGAGTGAAGACAGGGGGAGAGGGAGAGAGAGAGGACGTGAATAAAGTTGTTAAAGAAAATTTGAAGATAAACAATAGTTTTGCTGTTGAGACACATTTTGGCCACTATTTTGGATTAGATGTCGAGTGAGAGCGAAAAAATAGTAAATTTTTCCAAATATACGGTTCCATACGATAATTGAATTACACGTCAATTTATATATATCTATATACTATTGGGTAAGGAAAGGAGGTTTTCAGATGAGTTCAGATGAGTGCAAAAAATTGAGTCCAAAATTGATGAGAGAAAGAATTGGCAGTTTTGATATAGAAATTGGTTTTGAACGCAGAAAAATATATTCATAGGCAAAATGTGTGTGCGTTTTGAGGGCTTTGTTGTCTGTGTCTGTGCTCTCATTGATCTTTTTCAGAGATTTCTTAACAAAAATAACTTTAAGGCAAATATGAATGGAATGGAAACGAAAATTTCTGTTACGAAATGAATTAAAAAAGAGAGAGAGAAAAAAGTCGCCGAAAATTCTTTGCCATAGAATAGGAAGAGAGGGAATGAGAAGCGTATGAATGGTGTGAATGAATGGCTAGAAGTTAGGCTGACATACATTAAACACATTCACAGAAAAAAACACAATTCGACACAACATTTAATATATTATAACACAAGAGAATATATATAAGAATTTGCAGAATTGATATGTTTTATATATTTTACTACCAGAAAAAATAAAGCATAAATAAAATGAGAATAAAATAAAAGCACCGGTAGTTCAGACGTGATTGAAGAGAATGAGAGAGGGAGTGAAGGGGAGAGAGTGTGTGTGTATTGGAGAGAGAATGAGAGAGTGTGGGGGAAGTGTTAGTCTTGAAATGAGATATGGAAAAAGTTATGTATTTTTGGGAATAAAAGTTTTTTTTATTCGGAACCAAAGCGAAAGTCACACCAAAATGTGAACTCCTATTGAGTGAGAATTCCATTCTTTATTCCTATTATTATTCTAATGATTGATTTGATTCCCAATTCCTCTCACTTCTCACTCTATAACTCAAAACTACTTTCTCTTCTATGAGTGAAGAAGGAGAAGAGGAGAAAAAATATAGTAATTCTTTTGCCAAAAAACACATTTCTATAATATATATTCTGGTGAAGGCTTTCAGCAAACAATACGGACTATAGAGACAGCGAAAGGGGAAACGTAAGCATTAGATGCGTTAGTCGAGCAGAAATGTTAATCTTAAGTCGTCTCTCACCTCATAATTTAAGTTTAACTTTCATTTGTTATATACGACAACAATTCAATATATAAATATCATATAAAAAGCCGTACGCTTTACAGCATCAGTACATCAATTCTCATGCATTCTCTCTCTCTCTCTCTCTCTCTCTCTCTCTCTTCGCTAAGAAATAACTCCAAAAACAGTAGAAGAAGTTTATATATGTATTAATCGAGTTCTCAAATACTTTCTCCTTATATATGCCATACGGTTGTGACTCGAATAGCGATTTCTTATCAGAACACATATTATTAATAATCAGTTTTCCATACATTCATTCAAATGAGGGAAAAATTAACTGAACTACTGATGACTGAGCGCTCACTACTGACACCACTATTTAATCTTTTACGGGAGACTTATTGAGGCAGAAGAGAGCGAGTGTGAGAGGAAGAGGGGGAGAGGGTTAGCACAGGGAGGACTGACTACACACTTGGATGTGATAATGAATGCATTGTGTGTGTGAAAGAGAGGGATGAGGAGAGAGTATGTGTGAGTGTATGAGAGGCTGTGGAAAAAGAAAAAAGGAGTGAATGTGTGAAGGGATGAGATTCTTGATATTGAATGAGTGAGAAGTAAAGGCAAAAAGAGAAGTGAATTTGAGTGAAATAATGAAAAAAAAAGTGTTAAAAGGATTGATGAGGCGATGATAATGGAGCTGATGGTGACTCAAAATACGCGGTGACCACATCTACACAGTATATATAAATATCTATAAACACAATACAGACACACAAACACATGAATTGTGAAAAACAGGTGTAAAACGAGAATATGTTTTCTGGAGAGAGAAGAAAGAGAAAAAATCAAATTAGAAGTGATTTACTGTTTATAAATGGATGGACACAACCATTTGTTTTTGTTTCTTATTATCATTTTCTAAAAACTTGACAAAAACGGCAAAACAATAACAACAGACAAATCGAGAGACAATAACTCGAAATATAAAAATAATATGTTTTAAACAAATTTCCCACAAAAACAATACATTTCCAAAAACACACGATTAAAATATATATTTCTCTCCTTTTTTTATCCCAAAATTAATTCATTTTATGCTAATAATAGTTTTGTTATATAATAATAATAATATAAATATAAATAAAATATAAATATATATCTCTATCAATAAGGAGACAAAAAAAATTTGTTAAATATTCTCTACTTTTCACATAAACAAAACAAAAATACAAAAACAAAATTATAAATAAATAAAATTCCAATAAATATATAAGAAATTAATTTTAAATGTAACAAAAAGTTAAAATTTCAGAAATTTTAGAATTAAATTTTAAACTGTTTTTTCTAGACATTCAATGATATTTACAAATGAAAAATAATATTACTAATACGAGAGACAAATGAAAAAATCATGTTTTTGAATAATGTTTAAATTTTTAGACAATTCAGCAATTTATTAAATTTATGATTATGATTATGTATTGATTAAAATTATAATTAATTAATTATTATGATTATTATTATTATTATTATAAATATATATTATATCACAAGTTTTAGAGATAAAATTTTATCAAACTTTTTGAAACAAGAATTTTTCTGAAATTTCTGAAATTTTTTGTGTTTGAATGAAAAACTAAACAAATGATTATGAAATGAAAAATAATGTTATAATAAAATAATTTATAAAAATTATGAGAAACAATACAAAAAAACTATTACCGAGTATTGGATGAGATAAATAGATGACATTTTATTGAAAACAAGTTAACTTAAAATATGTTTTTATTAAAAAATATTGTTTATGTATAAAGAAAAAAATTATTACAATTATTTATGCAAAGAATATAACAAAAAAATCTGCACAAAAACAATGAATGGATTATATATTGACGAATGGATATAAAAAACAAACAAAAAGTTTAATTGTTTATGTATAAAGAAAAAAATTATTACAATTATTTATGCAAAGAATATAACAAAAAAATCTGCACAAAAACAATGAATGGATTATATATTGACGAATGGATATAAAAAACAAACAAAAAGTTTATAAAAATTTAATTTTAATTGTCGTTGAATTGCTATAATTGCTAATTGCTGCTTGCTG